TCGAGATTTAATGCCAACTATGTTTTAGGCTGGAGAATCAAAGTGTTATGAATTGACCATTTAAGCCCAACGGAAAAATCGCACAGAAATAGAATCAGCAACCGGTGATAAGTTTCACAGTGTTTTTCTTCAAGCAGAAAACTGTTGGCTATCTGTTTCATTCATTTAAGAAGAATATGTCGCATTTCAGCACCGGAATTTGAAGAGAGTTTTCGTATACATTTCAGTTTCTTATTCCATGTAACTTCTACAATTTCAACCCCCAATTTATTTATAATTCGAGATTGAATACCAACTATGTTTTAGATTGAAGAATCAACGTGTTATGAATTGACCATTTAAGCCCAACGGAAAAATCGCACAGAAGAGGAACCCAGACATGAAATCAGCAACCGGTGATAAGTTTCCTATTCCTGTGTCGTATTCAATTCATAAAGAATATTTTTTCAAAATTAATTATTTGTTATGGAAGGCGATATATCATAGAAAATGTTTCAGTAGGCACCTTTATGTCTCCATGGAGACACGACAGGTACCCTTACGAGGGGAGAGTATCAACCCTTGGCGTCGGTAAACCCTCATTGCAACCGAGGTAGGCGCCTGGTGGGTTAGGTATATACAGTGTTTTTCATTAAGGAGAAAACTGTTGGCTATCTGTTTCGTTCATTCAAGAAGAATATGTCGCATTTCAGCACCGGAATTTGAAGAGAGTTTTCGTATACATTTCAATTTCTTATTCCATGTAACTTCAAAATCTCAACCCCCAATTTATTTTCAAATCGAGATTCAATGCCAACTATGTTTTAGGTTGAAGAATCAACGTGTTATGAATTGACCATTCAAGCCCAACGGAAAAAGCGCACACGAGAGGAATCCAGACATAAAATCAGCAACCGGTGATAAGTTTCCCATTCCTGTGTTGTATTCAATTCATATAGAATATTTTTTCAAAATCAATTATTTGTTATGGAAGGCGATATATCATAGAAAATGTTTCAGTAGTCACCTTTATGTCTCCATGGAGACACGACAGGTACCCTTACGAGGGGAGAGTATCAACCCTTGGCGTCGGTAAACCCTCATTGCAACCGAGGTAGGCGCCTGGTGGGTTAGGTATATACAGTGTTTTTCATTAAGGAGAAAACTGTTGACTATCTGTTACGTTCATTCAAGAAGAATATGTCGCATTTCAGCACCGGAATTCGAAAACAGTTTTCGAATTCATTTCAGTTTCTTATTCCATGTTACTTCAAAATTTCGACCCCCAATTTATTCATAATTCGTTATTAAATACAAACTGTGTTTTAGATTGAAGAATCAACGTGTTATGGATTGACTATTTAAGCCCAACGGAAAAATCGCAAAGAAGAGGAAACCAGACATAAAATCAGCAACCGGTGATAAGTTTCACAGAGTTTTTCATTGAGGAGAAAACTGATGGCTATCTGTTTCGTTCATTCAAGAAGAATATGTCGCATTTCAGCACCGGAATTTGAAAACAGTTTTCATATACATTTCAGTTCCCTATTCTATGTAACTTCTACAATTTCAACCTCCAAGTTATTTATAAGTTGAGATTAAATACCAACTATGTTTTTAATTGAAGAATCAATGTGTTATGAATTGACCATTTAAGCCTAGCGGAAAAATCGCACAGAAGATGAACCCAGATATAAAATCAGCAACCGGTGATAAGTTTCACAGTGTTTTTCATCAAGGAGAAAACTGTTGGCTATCTGTTTCGTTAATTTAAGAAGAATATGTCGCATTTCAGCACCGGAATTTGAGAACTGTGTTAGTATACGTTTCAGTTTCTTATTCCATGTTACTCCAAAATTTCAACCCCCAATTTATTCATAATTCGTAATTAAATACAAACTGTGTTTCAGATTGAAGAATCAACGTGTTATGAATTGACCATTTAAGTCCAACGGAAAAATCGCACAGAAGAGGAACCCAGACATTAGATCAGCAACCGGTGATAAGTTTCCCATTCCTGTATCGTATTCAATTCATATGGAATATTTTTTCAAAATTAATTATTTGTTATGGAAGGCGATAATTATATCATAGAAAATGTTTCAGTAGTCACCTTTATGTCTCCATGGAGACACGACAGGTACCCTTACGAGGGGAGAGTATCAACCCTTGGCGTCGGTAAACCCTCATTGCAATCTCTCACAAAATAGCAAAATATTTCGAACCAAATTGTAAGTCACTGAAGTTCTTTATGAAAATATTACTAAAGCTGCATTGGCTCCAGATCTCACTTCTAGTGGTATTCAAATAACCACTGCTCAAAACTGCACTTTCAACATTAGTTTATATAATTATTACTCTACCACAAATTAAAAATATGTAGGATGCAAGAGTGAAAATAACGTGCCCATAAGTTATACTGTATACCTACTTCTTCGTTACTTTCATCAATAAATTATTTGGAAATGACTTTTTATTTAAGGAAGACGAAAAAATCATATGTATAACATGGGGGTAAAGTATATTCTATTCTTCATTTTCCTGCCATTTCACGTATAACTTTTCATAAGCCTACTTTTCGTCATAGAATTGGTCACAAAATGAATTTTTCTCCGAGTTGGATTTCCGAAAATATATTTAGCACACATGACATGATCACAGTGTAGTTCAGATACCTACATCGAGGTTTTCACCATTTCTCAATCATAAGGCCCAGCTCATTCAGCTCATAGTTAAACTACTGCTCAGCTTGAAATCGTCTAAGAACAGTCTCTTTTGGTGAAATACTGAAATACAGTGTGCCCCACTTACCATGCTCACCATGGGTATCTTTTTAACGGCGAGAGATACGAGGTCGGTTAAATGACACCAAATGTGGAAGTTGTCAAGGCCAACTATAATGTGAAAAAATATTTTGAAAAAATCTATTTGTTTTTGTTTTATACGCAAAAAACAGATTTTGAACATTTTCATGTCTCCTCCGTAACTTCTTTATTTATGAAAATTGTCAAATAGTAATTTCACATTCTCATGGCAGTTTTTAGAAGTGATTTAAAAAAAAAATAAGAAATTTATACCAACTCTTCTAGAATTTGAGATATCAGCATCAACTTTAGTTTTTCAAATGTAGGTCATAGCTCACTATGACTTAGTTACAAATAACTTTTTTTCTCTTACAGATGATATGTCGCAGTAATAGTTTTGTGTTGATAACAACGGAGTTATCGTCATTTATACAATAACAAAAAATTATTTGGATGCCGCCATCTTGAATTTATAAATTTTAACAAAAAAATCATGATCTCCGATCTCAAAAACCCTCACTCACCAATTCTGAATGGAATCGGACCAAATCTTGTCCGCCATCTTGGAACAGCCATTTTTTTGATTTGATGGCGGACAGATTTGGTCCGATTCCATTCAAAATTGGTAAGTGGGGGTTTTTGAGGTCGGAGATCATGATTTTTTTTTAATTTATAAATTCAAGACGATAACTCCGTTGTTATCAACACAAAACTATTACTGCGCCATATCATCTGTAAGAGAAAAAAAAGTTATTTGTAACTAAGTCATAGTGAGCCATGACCTACATTTGAAAAACTAAAGTTGGTGCTGATATCTCAAATTCTAGAAGAGTTGGTATGAATTTCATATTTTTTTCGAAATTGCTTTAAAAAACTGCCATGACAATGTGAAATTTCTATTTGAATATTTTCATAAATAAAGAAGTTACGGAGGAGACATGAAAATGATCAAAATCTGTTTTTTGCGTATAAAACAAAAATGAATAGATTTTATCGAAATATTTTCTCACATATTATAGTTGGCCTTGACAAACTCCACATTTGGTGTCATTTAACCGACCTCGTATCTTTCACCGTTAAAAAGATACCCATGGTGAGCATATGGTAAGTGGGACACACTGTATATCAAGCTTTCAGTAAAAATTATATGTTCCCTACCTCGCAAAGATTATGCTGGAGTAGTGAGCTCTCAAACTAGAAAATTGTTCAACTACACTCAGTTCCAAAAAAAGTGACGCACTTGATATTTGACCTATCTTCTTAAAAAAAAAAAAAAATAGGCCGATTTTATTTTTTTTATCTGTTGGTTTGTAATGCATTTGTCTTTGAACAAAAAATAAAGAGGTGAACATTTTTTCAAAGCTTCCTTGATGGTGGTGGAATAACTCGATCCATGATTTATTCTTAATTTTTGACTCACCCTGTGTGTTAATTGAGTAATGGTATACAAAGTGCTTACACCCTATACGATTCGTATGCCAAAATAATTGTGAAAAACTATTTCGATCACTTGTAAACAAATAAGAAAAGTGAGGTTGTGTTTCAATGTTTTGCCTCCAGCGTCGGTCATCTGACAGTTCTTGGTTCTTGCACGCAAGTGGCAACAAGTGGCATCCTTAAGCGGCGTTCACAACCAAACTTTTTACGTTTTGCTTCTGACGTTTCGTATTCTGATTGGTGAAGCAGAATCTGAAATTAAAGTTGCATTAACTTTATGCGAATGTCATTCACAACAACAAAAAAATCATCGTGACTTTCAACGGCTTTTTTCAGTTGTCTTGATTTCATCCTGAAATGAGGTGAAATAATCATAACAATAATACTGCATAAAACTGGCGGTGACGTAAATTGATCCTTATTCAATACTTGAAGAGAAAAATCAATCCTCAAAAAGAAAATAATAAATTGAACAGTGTACCTATCTACTATTCCGTGGATTCACGAAAAAAATCATGAGCAAAAATATTATCATAACTTCCATACATTGAATAACTCATTTTAAACAATAACTATAGAATGTTCCATACATGTATTGTTGTATTCAATATCATTTGTCTATTCTTACTATTTCCACAGACGATGGCTTCTTGCAACGCAAAAAGCTGAATATTTTCAGCTTTTTGCGTTATTTCAATTACAGATTCTGCTTCACCAATCAGAATACGAAACGTAAAAAGCGAAACGTAAAAAATTTGGTTGTGCTTGTGAATGCCGCTTTAGATCATACAGGAACAAAAAAGTGCAAAGGTGAATGGTGATTAGGTGAATCAAGGTGAATCTGAAAGAAAGTGGTGAAAGTGAAAAATTAAAAATTGAAATGAATGGAAAGCAGAATAGTAGAAACAGGCACTCAGGCAGTAGACAGTAAAAGTAGAACAGAAGCGTGTTATCAGAACTTTTTGAGTCTACAATGTAATGATATGATAATGAACTTTAGAACATAGGAAAAGACCAAGGACATTTCACAAGAAATCATCCAGATGATTATGAAGACCTCTAAATATACCTAAACAATGGTAGTAGATCTTAGGTATTCTTGAGATAATAGGAAATGAATTCACCATGGAATGCCTTCCTAATGAACTTTTGATAAAAATTCTTGGACATTTGGATACATTTGACCTATTGCAATTTTGTGGTGCCTATGAACATCTAGATTATTTCCTGAAAGAAAAAGATGTTATTCAGTAAGGTGTTCCACCTTTTTTTGAGAATATTTTCATAGTAAGATTACCTTCTAGGTATTTAAACTTGTCTAGGAGGTTTGAACTGCATGACTTGAACATTACCAAATTTATATCCACAAAAATGAACCCATCATTTATCAAGGTTCTGAATATTAATTGTTTGTATTGGATCCCAGCCCAAGACTTGAAGAAGTTGTTGAGCAGACTTGATAATCTTGAAGAACTTCATGCCATAGACACAAAGCTTGGATTATATGAAAGTGATATGATGGGATATTTAAGAGTAAGTTTGGAGTATTATTGTTATTTTGGTCAATCTAAATAAAAAAACTACATATCAATCAGATATTCTATTATTTCAGAATAGATGATTTTAGGTGTCAATATGATTTATATTTTCAGCTGAAGAAATTAGCTGTTTCCATGGAAGGAAGTATTAACTATGAACCATATGAAAATACTAAAACAACTATTGTGTCTAAAGAATTGATAGCATTGAAATATTTGTACTTGAAATTGTATCTAACAAAGAGTCATTCTAGACCACCATCAATTTTCATGAAAAATTTCATCTGTAATTTAAGTCAGCTGGAAGAATTATGGGTATGACAAATTTAACATATACCAGATTTATAATAATTATAATTATGCCTTCCAAGTACCCTGTAAGTAATTTTTTCTATCTGGAGTCATGTCTTTTTCAATTATAATTTTCTCCAGTTTTCTTGTACATGATATATTGATTCATTTCAACTCATATCATTATTTTTTTTATAGTTAGAAGAATGTTTTGAATCTGTTGGTTCACCTAATAGTATAAATTATGATTATGAGAAATTCCTGGTACAATTGAAAGATTTGAAGAAATTGGTGATCAGATCAAATGGAGTGTTACCCATGCATGATTTTACTTCCTGGGGGTTCTCCAAAGTTGTTGAATGTAAAAAGTACATTGCTGCATCAGACTTGATATTTGGTGAGTCACTAGGATATACAGTGTGACCCATTTAAGACCTGAGCACCCTCAAAAAATCTATAGTTTTTGACCGATTTCCTTTTTTTCATTTCAGCAGTAGGGCTATCTGGAGATCTATGTTTACACAAATTCGCAAAATAAAATTTCAACCTACAGGGCATTATTATTTTTTTCAAGTTAAAAATTACGAAATATCATTAGCGATTTTTTTTTTAAATCGACCCCACCACTGAATTCAGCATCTTTCAATTAGGTTGAGCGCGAAATTTCATTGAAAAATTTCAATTGGCAACAAAGTTATAACAACATTAATTTTGATGGCTCACCATTTTTTATGAATATTTCAGACAAATTCTGAGAAGCGGCAACATTGTCAACACAAATTTTGGAAATCATCGAGGTTTCTGGTATACATTCGAATTGATAACACAAATTATTATTGCCTTATAATCTCTAGAATGGTACCCTTTTGTAATGAAGTAATGAAGTCGGAAAAACAGCTTTTCATAATAAGTTAATTATCCATGTAAACCAACAATTTCTGAAAGCTCTTGATGTTTTTGGCTTCTGATATTATCTTACTATACAGACTATCCGATTTTCTTACTCTAATTACTTGGATGAACAAGGCCGACTTTTCGACGTTATGGATTTTTCATTTTATTCCATTTTAGATGTTATAACTCGATAATAATTTGTATAATCAATTCAAATGTGTACCAGAAACCTATTGATGACTTCCAACATTTGTGTTGACAATGTTGCCGCTTCTCAGAATTTGTCTGAAATATTCATAAAAAATGGTGAGCAATAAAAATTAATGTTGTTATAACTTTGTTGCCAATTGATATTTTTCGATGAAATTTTGCGCTCAACCTAAATGAATGATGCTGAATTCAGTGGTGGGGTCGATTTTATTTGGAAAAAATCGCTGATGATATTTTGCAATTTTTAAAATGAAAAAAATAACATAGTATGCCCTGTAGATTGAAATTTTATTTTGCAAATTTGTGTAAACGTAGATCTCCGGATAGTCCTCCTGCTGAAACAAAAAAAAAGAAATTGGTTAAAAACTATAGATTTAATAAGGGTGCTCCGGTCTTAAGTGGGCCACACTGTATAAATAATGGTATGAAATATGGTTTACTGTGTCAATATTTTCTTCCATTCATGTTCTCTGAGACATCAAAAATGTTCTTAGTTTGAAATCATTCTCAAAATGTTTTTCTAAAACTAAGCTTGGGCCTCTACTATTCCTAATCAATTATTTGCCATCAAAATAATTCAAAGAATTTGAGATTACATATCATTATGATAATAATTAACTGTCTCAATCTCATTATCATTTTATGTAATTCAAGAAAGGTCCACAAAGAAAAGTATGAGTTTGAAACGATCTATTTTTGAGCCAAAATCTACTGCTCTGGAAAAGGCTTGGGATGTGTTCGAGAGTCGTGGTGTCCTACCTTGTGGCCCCAAGGAGTATAAGGTATTTTGAACACTCAAGGGTGAAAACACACGGAGCCGTTTTTGCTGACTCGGCGGCCGACTCGGCAGCCGACTCGGCAGCCGAGTCGGCACACGAGCTGTTGTGTCTTTATGGAATAAAACAAACGCAGCTGCTGCCGCGCGTACGGTCGTCTGGATGATATGCCGAACGCGTTTTTATTGCTTTGAGCGGCTACTCAGACCGTTTTGTCAAGTGCGATTGAACACACGAGGAACGGTTTTTGAGCGGTGCAATACAAACATTGTTGTCAAGTTGACCGATCCATGATGGTTCTCATTGATTGATGACATTTTCACTTCCACGCGAAACAACATAAACCTTTGGAATCTCCCACAGAATCAGTACAGTCCTATATCACCCGAAGATTCTAGAGACAATGAATTTTAAAGTTTGTAACGTTCATGCATTATAATGATAAAAATTGAGTTTCTCTCACCTCAGCGTTATCACTAGTTTTGCTTCTGGTGAAATACTTGCCCTCATTGCCGTATCCTGCTTAGTTATTTGATTCTTCGTCAGAGTCAGAAGTTCAAAGGATAAAACGAATCTTTTGACATTCGTACAAAATTGAAGAATTTTTTATCATTTCTTTTGATCTCATCATTAAATGAAGTATAAAACAAACATTTCTCAGTTCGTTTCTTGACAATTGGGTGTACCCACATACGCCTGTTTCTTGTTCCCTTCGAACGACAATAAATTAGTCCCACTAATCTTGAGAATTCCTCCTCAGAATCAGACTCCATACCGTTCAGACACTATTACGAATTTGAACAGGAACTGACAACATCACATTGTTTTCGCATTGCGTGTCGCATCAGCAACGACCCGTGTGTCTTCATGCATTCGGCTGCCGAGTCGGCGAAAACCGCTCCGTGTGTCATCACCCTTTGCAAAATCAATGGAAAGCTTCTCAAATGTTTCCAGTTGCTGAGCATGAATGAAGACTTGCTGAATATCAATTTTGAAGAGCTGGATTTTTGCCATACAATCATGTGGTGTAAGTCTCAACACACTGATGCTGCCTTAGAAATATTGAGATCTCCCAATTCAAAGGGCCTGAAAAAACTTCTGTTCAGGTCTTGTTTGTTGCAAAGTATGTCCATTTTGGGGCATTGACATGTGAAAAATGTGACTTCTGTTTGAAATTTCAGAGAAAAAATTGGAGCCAGATAAGGAACATTCTAGAGTTCTTTTCAAAAAGCCTAGGTATGGGGTGCAATCAGAACCTGCAGAACTCCACCCTTTTTACAAAATTGCCGAGAATATAAATAATTTAGTGGAGCTGGAGATATCACTTTGTTCACAGTAAGTAGGCTTTTTTCCTCATTTTATATTCATTCATTGAACTACACTCACCAGCAAAAAAAATTGGTCACCAAAAAATTTTGCCAAATTATTGGCCCTGTAACTTTTTTAATTCTTGTCTGATTTTTGTGAAATTTCCACCAAATCATATATTCATGTTTCAGAATGTAAGCCTGAATAGTAGATTCTAAGGAAAGCTAATGGCTTGATCATTATACAGGGAAAAACAAGAGTTACTGTTTCATCCTTGAAGTTATGCACACTGCTTTTTCACCAATCTGTTGCTTTCATCAACTGCCATTAATTTTATTTTGATTTAATGACTGATACCTTTATGCACCACCTTCTTTTAATTTTAAACTCTTCTTCTTGATCAAAACATATTCCTAAGCATACTTAGCCTGATGACAATATTTGTGTTATAACATTCAGTGATCACATAATTACAATAAGAATTATTCATTCATATTGTTTTCCAAGTCTAATTTGAACATATCACTAGAATGTTCTGAATTTTCAATCACATGTTGGAAAAAGAAGAGGAAGAAATTGTTCTTTTGACAGAATCGCACATGCGCAAGTCACAGTTTCATTTGTATTTGTCATCAAGAGATTAAAGTTGTTCAGGTGGATTATGCAACATCAACTAAATTATAATGAATTGAAGATTTAAACGAATTTTAAATTGAAAATATATGGGTGTTCATGCAATAACCTTTCATCAGCTGTTTAATCCTTTTCCATCACGGATAGTTTTTATTTGACGCATGCACTGTAGCGCTGTTCTGAATTATGGAAGAAATTAATTTCTTAGTTGAATGTTTGCCATCTTATTACTGAGTTTTAATTTTAGTTTTAATTTTTTAGTTTCTTGCATGAGGACCTGCATTACATTTCATAGTTTTATATTATTGGTTTAAGTTTAAAATTCATTTAAGTTTTAAATTTTGCTTGCATGGATGAATGAACGGGAATATAAAGTTTTAACTCCACACCCTGTGGAATAGGTGAATGGTTATTTTATTAAAAGCTTTTATTCAACTTGCAATGTATGGATGTGTTAGTTAGGGTGGAATCTTTGAACTCAATTTTGAAGTAGATAATTATCTTCAACCGATTGAGCTGAAATTTTGTATACACGTTCTAAATCCAATACGGCGGACCATCCAAGATGGCGGAATAGTTATTTTCAATGCACTTCTACAATATGGGTATCAAATAAAAGGGCTCGGAAGTAACTCGAAAAATGATTTGACGTCATTCTAAAGTCAATATGGCGGACCATCCAAAATGGCGGAATATTTATTTTCAATGCACTTCTACAATATGGGTATCATTCGTTGAGAGTAACTCGAAAAATAATGTGACGTCATTCTGAATCCAATATGGCGGACCATTCAAGATGGCGAAATAGTTGTTTTTAATGCACATCCACAATATGGGTATCAAATGAAAGGACTTTTTAGTTATCTCGCTAGTTTTCTGTCTGTTCATTTCATTCTTCGCATCATTGTTGCAAGGTCGTTTGCCGGTTAATTTCGAATAGTACAGCTCTTCAATAAGGAGACTTTCTAATGATTTCTAAGTAAATAACGGCGTAGTCGCCAGTACTACCTTGCATTTTGTGTACTGTACAAGCCCAACATAATACAATTGGCAGCATTCTTTGTTCCGCGATTCCGCGACTTTATTTTGCTGGAAATTGCACAGACTTAGTGTGCCATATTGGATTTTGAAGTGTATGAATAACAACTATTCCGCCATCTTGGATAGTCCGCCATGTTGGATTTAGAAATGTCACATTATTTTTCGAGTTACTCTCAACAAGCCCTTTTATTTGATACCCATATTGTGGAAGTGCATTAAAAATAGCTATTCCGCCATCTTGGATGGTCCGCCATATTGGATTTAGAATAACGTCACATCATTTTTCGAGTTACTCTCAACGAGCCCTTTCATTTGATACCAATATTGTAGAAGTAGATTGAAAATGACCATTCCGCCATTTTGGATGGTCCGCTATATTCGATTTAGAATGAAGTCACATCATTTTTCGAGTTACTCTCAACGAGCCTTTTAATTTGATACCCATATTGTAAAAGTATATCAAAAATAGGTATTCCGCCATCTTGGATAGTCCGCCATATTGGATTTAGAATAACGTCACATTATTTTTCGAGTTACTCTCAACGAGCCCTTTCATTTGATACCCATATTGTAGAAGTAGATTAAAAATGATCATTCCGCCATCTTGGATGGTCCGCCATATTCGATTTAGAATGGCGTCACATCATTTTTCGAGTTACTCTCAACGAGCCTTTTCATTTGATACCCATATTTTAAAAGTATATCAAAAATAGGTATTCCGCCATCTTGGATAGTCCGCCATATTGGATTTAGAAAAACGTCACATTATTTTTCGAATTACTCTTAACGAGCCCTTTCATTTGATACCCATATTGTAGAAGTATATTGAAAATGACCAATCCGCCATCTTGGATGATCCGCCATATTCGATTTAGAATGACGTCACATCATTTTTCGAGTTACTCTCAACGAGCCTTTTCATTTGATACCCATATTGTAAAAGTATATAAAAAATAGCTATTCCGCCATCTTGGATAGTCCGCCATATTGGATTTAGAATAACGTCACATTATATTTCGAATTACTCTTAAGGAGCCCTTTCATTTGATACCCATATTGTGGAAGTAGATTAAAAATGACCATTCCGCCATCTTGGATGGTCCGCCATATTCGATTTAGAATGACGTAACATCATTTTTCGAGTTACTCTCAACGAGCCTTTTCATTTGATACCCATATTGTAAAAGTATATAAAAAATAGCTATTCCGCCATCTTGGATAGTCCGCCATATTGGATTTAGAATAACGTGACACACCTTATCGTGCATTGTCATCCAAACTGAACGTGTATAAAAAATTTCAGCTCAATCGGTTGAAGATTTCAGTTTCAAAATTGAGTTCAAAGATTCCACCCGAACATACATACATCCATACAAACATACAATGCAAGTTAAATAAAAGCTTTTAAAAAAATAGCTATTCCGCCATCTTGGATAGTCCGCCATATTGGATTTAGAATAACGTGACACACCTTATCGTGCATTGTCATCCAAACTGAACGTGTATACAAAATTTCAGCTCAATCGGTTGAAGATTTCTACTTCAAAATTGAGTTCAAAGATTCCACCCGAACATACATACATACATCCATACAAACATACAATGCAAGTTAAATAAAAGCTTTCAAAAACTATTTCAATCACTTGCGAACAAATAAGAAAAGTAAGGTTGTGTTTCAATGTTTTGCCTCCAGGGTCGGTCATCTGACAGTTCTTGCACGCAACCCATCCAAAGCATAATGAAGCCAGGTTCAACCGCTCAATTTCCCCACAGGGCGTGAAATGGTAACTTTAGTTTTTCCCTGTCAAGTCATCAGCTTTCCACGGGAACAAATATTCAGGCTAACATTCCGGAACATGAATCTACGATTTGATCAAAATTTCACATAAATCGGACAAGAATTAAAAAAGTTACAGGATGAACAATTTGGACAAATTATTTGGTGGCCGTTTTTTTTGCCGGTGAGTGTATTTGGGGAATATTCAGATGCAGTGCGATTGATGATATAGCTGCCTATAAGCTTATTGGAGTTTTTGAAAAGCTGACGAGACTGTCACTTCAAATTCCTCTTTTACTGGATGGATCATTTTTGAAGGAGGTGAGCTCTTGACTCCTATCAATATCCGGACCACAATTGACAATTTTTATTATGGATTTTAGGTATTCACAAAGTGCAAATTTCTGGAATCTTTGAGTCTTCATTGTACAACAACAAATGAAAAATTCATGGTGAATCTCTGCCAGAATATTAGGTTTTCAACTGCCCTTAGGGATATCAGGTAAGACTAAAGTTTATAAAAATCGAAATGAGTATTTTTCCTGCAACTGACACAAAAGTCGTCCATTTTAATACCAAGTGGATTGACGTTTCTATTACTGACGACACAAACATAGGTATGTTGCTAGGCAACACTTTTAGTTCCTAGGAGCTAAAATTGAACTTAAGCTCCTAGAAACTAGAAGGGATGTAAAAACTTCACAAACGATAAGATTTCCACAAAATTCCTACCCAAAACTGGTAATTTTCGTTTTTTTTTTAGGTTAGACCACAAAGAAATAAATATTGAAAAACTATTGGCCAGTCTCAGTGAAATAAACAATAATAAGCTGCTGAGATTAGTCTTGAATTGTGATGCTTTGAGTTACTCCCGCAGTGTCTCTCATACTGAGCCTTTCTCCGATTTTTTCGAAAAGAATCGTCAACTGATACTGTTTTATTTAGTCGCCAGCAAAGCTACCAAAAAACATATGTTTGATATTCAAAAGACCATTCATAAGTTTAAAGGAGTTAACCGAGGGAAGGTATTTTATGCCAAAACTGAAGAAACTACCCAAATCCCATCCGCTCACTATGACATGCTGTTCTCTCGAAATAGAGTAGCTGTCGTAAATTTTGATGAGTTTTGAAACTAGGAATTTGTGATTATTTTCAAAGGCTGATAATAAAATGCATCTATATGATCCAAATTAGTTTTATTATCCAGACAAGGGTGGAAACAACAAAAAGAAATTCAAATTAACAACACTATATCACCAACTACTGGAACAATAAATAAAAACAATTACAATGTTATAAGGGGTCTCATATTTTACATTCCACGAGAAAATGTAGGTTAATTTGGATTGTTTCAATACCAAATCACTATTACCTTAGTTTTATTCCTGAGTCCCTATATTAACCTGCCTACAAAAATATGTACATACAAACTAAATATCACTTTTAACAAAAAAAAATACACAATCCTCAGCGACATTCCTAATTTTGTTGTCACTGAGAAGTGGGTATTCAACTAACATGACCCCGTATTTCCGAGACATCTAAAATGTCTACCCACTAAAACATATCCAATGGCAGGGACGTACGATTTTGGTTCTGCGTGGAGTCACCAACGTGGTTGGGGATGCCATCTGTCATATACACAACAAGGAATGCATTGAAATTGGAAATATGATGAAAAAGAAGTGAGGTTAAGATGTAGCTGTGCTTATACCAGATATTCTCGAGGAACTAACTGAAATATTTCACTTCAACTGAACTAACATGTGTTCTTTCTAAAGACTTTAAATCCTTAGATAGCATGTTAACTGATTCAGTTCAGAACGAATGAATATCAGTACCAAACTATACAACATTGAGGCATTCGAATAACAATTATTGTTGAACTTTTGTTAACAAATTTGGATACTGTAGATAAATAAACAAAGTTGACACAACATGATATAGACTTTAAATCCATAGATAGCTAACTGATTCAGTTCAGAACGAATGAATATCACTACTACACTACACAACCTTGAGGCATTTGAATAACAATTATTGTTGAACTTTTGTTAACAAATTTCGTTACTGTAGATAAGTAATCAAAGTTGACAGCTGATAAAACCCCCGACCTCACCAGTGCCATCTGCTTTGAGGTTTTCAGGTTACTTACCTGCCATTCACCATCACTAGTTTTCAAGTTCTGCCGGTCAACAGCTAAGAACTTGATTATAAAATAGACAATTCACTATATCAGTCTCTTCATTATAAATAATATTTTTAGACATATTTACAAGTGGTTATTGGGAAGTTCCCACAATAATCAAAATGAGACAGTTTGTTGTTACTTCGGTTGTTACTCTACAGTCGAGAAGATTGATCTGTTATTCGTACCCTAGTGAAACGAGATATACTATTCATATTGACATTAGGCACCTAGAGCTTATTGGGATCAAGGATGACCCAGTTTGCAGATGGTGCCTGGAAGATGACGAAACGTCATCACATGTCCTCACTGAGTGTCCAGCACTGACGCATCAGAGGAGGGCTGTCCATGGCAACATAATTTTGAGGCCAGAGGACGTAAAAGAGATTCAGCTGAGGGTGCTGCTGAACTTCTCCAAGGCAGTCGGCATACCCAGCTGAATGTCGTAACATGTGGGCGCACAATGGGCCCGAATAAGGAGGCCCACGTGCAGGGGGTTCACCCGCCCACCAGTGCTTCAAAGAAGAAGAAGAAGACATTAAGTTTATTCAGCTCCCTAGTTGAGGATTCAAAAAAAAGAAAGACTGTAGAGTAACGCCAAATGAGGTTGATTCAATTCGAGTTTTCTATTTAGGCATCACTGCAAACCAAGCATCAGTCAATAAATACTTGTCCGCGAGGTCTCAAACACATTCCATTCACAAATAACCATTAGAGACTGTTCAACGTTTCGAAATGCTTCAGTTAGATATAGTTTTCCAGCCAGCTGCTTGATTTTCACAAGGATACCAACATAAGAAACTCAAATCTCGCGATGTAATAACACTTTGGTTCATCTCACGAACTTCCCAACACCCCTACTAATCGCTCCGCCCTCAATCAATCTTGTGGGTAATTAGGGCATCCACGTAGTCCTCCTGGGGCTGGTCCTTGTCGCCCCACCCCCAGATCTCGTGGGTGCCGTCTCCTGTCCTCTTCACCCTCTTCTTGATCATGTCCTCGGACACAGTTTTGAGGTCGTACGCCCATCCGACCTTGGCGAAGAAGTCGATGAAGGCTGCCGAGAAGTTGACGCTGTACTTGCCCAGCTCGGAGGTCTTGTAGTCCCAGGGGAAGGTATGGTGGTAGTTGTGCCAACCTTCGCCCAAGGCGAGCACGGAGACTGTCAGGTTTTCTGCGGGGTTGATGTATCTGCAAGGGAAGGTTGTGGCGTTGATTAGTCACAAAAACACCATCCTCATGAGCGCAATGAATCCAGACTTAATATGTAGATTGCGGTATCTATGAGCGACAAGGTGAAACTATTTTTATGTTTTTTTTTCGGTGACGGGAAAAAATTGAAAGGTTACAAAATGTAACTTTCCATGAAATTACTTTTTTACCACGGGAAAAATGTGTAGGTATGTTTTTCACGGATATACAGTGTGTCCCACTTACCATGCTCCCCATGGGTATCTTTTTAACGGTGAGAGATACGAGGTCGGTTAAATGACACCAAATGAGCTCCACATTTGGTGTCAAGGCCAACTATAATGTGAAAAAATATTTTGATAAAATCTATTCGTTTTTGTTTTATACGCAAAAAACAGATCTTAATCATTTTCATGTCTCCTCCGTAACTTCATTATTTATGAAAATATTCAAATAGGAATTTCACATTCTCATGGCAGTTTTCAAAATGATTTCGAAAAAAATATGAAATTTATACCAACTCTTCAAGAATTGGAGATATCAGCACCAACTTTAGTTTTTCAAATGTATGTCATAGCTCACTATGACTTAGTTACAAATAACTTTTTTTTCTCTTACAGATGATATGTCGCAGTAATAGTTTTGTGTTGATAACAACGGAGTTATCGTCATTTATACAAAAACAAAAAATGATTTGGATGCTGCCATCTTGAATTCATAAATTTTAACAAAAAAATCAAGATCTCTGACCTCAAAAATGCCCACTTACCAATTTTGAATGTAATCGGACCAAATCTTGTTCGCCATCTTGGAGCAGCCATTTTTTTTAATTTCAGCGAAAATTCCATAACTTCGATTAACTTGAAATTTGGCAGGTGTTCATAATTTCGGTGACAATTCATTATGGAATTTTTGTTGAAATTAAAAAAAATGGCAGCTCCAAGATGGCGGAAAAGATTTGGTCCGATTCCATTCAAAATTGGTAAGTGGGGGTTTTTGTGGTCGGAGATCATGATTTTTTGTAAAAATTTATAAATTCAAGATGGCGGCTTCCAAATAATTTTTTTTGTGTATAAATGACGATAACTCCGTTGTTATCAACACAAAACTATTACTGCGACATTTCATCTGTAAGAGAAAAAAAAGTTTTTTATAACTAAGTCATAGTGAGCTATTACCTACATTTGAAAAACTAAAGTTGGTGCTGATATCTCAAAATTCTTGAAGAGTTGTTATAAATTTCATATTTTTTTCGAAATCATTTTGAAAAACTGCCATGAGAATGTGTAATTCCTATTTAAATATTTTCATAAATAAAGAACTTACGGAGGAGACATGAAAATGATTAAAATCTGTTTTTTGCGTATAAAAAAAAACGAATAGATTTTATCAAAATATTTTTTCACATTATAGTTGGCCTTGACAAACTCCACATTTGGTGTCATTTAACCGACCTCGTATCTCTCACCGTTAAGAAGATACCCACGGTGAGCATTGTAAGTGGGACACACTGTATAGGTGCACTGTTGATAGCTTTTAATGTGCCAGTTCCGAAAAATAAGCCAATAACACCGTCTCCGAGAAAGCACTGCAAGTCCTTTTGTCATCTATTTCATTTCGCGGTCAATTAAAGCATCCAAAAAATTCGCGATTTTTTAAAAATAAGGTCACAGAATTGAATGTAACGTTGAGAGAGAAACAATTGTGTTCCCCGTCTGTTTTTGTTTTCAGCGTTCCAACATAACATAATGAAATTTTCATGTTGGCAACACCGGAAGTGAGAAGAAATGGAGAAGAAGACCATTCTAACCTTTTTTATGCTAGGGTTAATATGATCTTCTTCTCCATTTTTTCCCGTTTCTAATGTTACCAACACAAAATTTCCATTGTTTTATGTTGGAACACTGAAGAGAACATATATCTACTACTCATATATGATTCATAGCTGTTCTCAAAGCGGGATCAACTTCTGTCTCTATAGGTAAGGAAATCGACCAATAGGCGTTGATGACGTAGGGAAAATAATACGAAACTTGTCAAACCAATATGGCTGTTTCCATCCTTCACTTTCCGTTCTTATAGATTCAAAAAGTACCTTTCATTTTGGTCCCATTTTTGTTGAGATATCGTATAGGCGATGCGCCATATATAGAAATAGTACATATTATATAGAAGAGGAGGACAGATGTGGAAGACATTTTGTTTCTTTCTCAATGCTCTATTCGCGGCAGCCAAGGTCATAATCTAATGATGATATTAAAACTACGGGAAAACATTCCTAATTTCTGGCTTAGATTGAAAGTTATACTTCTGAGCGGTTTGTTTTGAAGGATTGACCAATAATCACAAACGAAAAACAAATGTAAACCAATGAAAACAGAGTAAATAGACAGCTCTGACAGCTTTCAAAAACGTCGATAGGTGGCGTAAGTACGCTTATTTTCTATCGCGAATAAGGACGGAAAGTGAAGGATGGAAACTGCTGATGTGAGGATCAGATTTCAAGTTAGGTTAGGTTCGTAAATAATTATTTGATCATAATAAAATATTAAAAATCATCAATTGTTGATAATACCACAGTATAATACCGTCAACTTCGATTCATTCCTTTATAATGTGGTTAAAATATAGCAAAGCATAATGTCAGTAACTTTGAGGAACAGGAAAGAGCCATTGCAGATGATAATGAAATGAACTGCGATAATGATTTCATTCAGTTCGGTGAATCTCGAAACTCTCACCCTTTAATCCAACATTATTGCTTCAGATCTTGGTATTGAATATTGATTATAGGTCAGTGTTGACCTAGGTATATGTATTTTTCAACTCACTTGTCATAGGGTTTGTGTCCGTAGAGATGAGCCGCCGAATTCACCAGCCAGGTGGCGTTCAAGGTCAACACGTATCTGAATATGTTGACGCAAAACGCATTGACAAAGGTCTCGTTCCAGAAGTACATGGGCACGAGCACTGGCAAGATGAAGCACACCATAGGCATGAGGTAGAGGTAGTATTTGTCCTGGAAGTAAGGTTGAAAATAGTATTGTCACGAGTAGAACATACGGTATATTAGTTATTTCGAACCATGAGGGTTTTATAGACATAAAGTTCATCAAATCATCCGTTGACATTGAATTATGAAAACTGAACAAGGAACTCTCATGAGAAACGTGCGAATGGTGGTCTGGGGCTACTCTTGACTTGACAAGAGCTCGTCGTATTGGTCATTATAATGTAAGTTGTTATTAGGTCTTTATATTCATTGTTGTTTACTCATATTTGCTATTTCTACCCATACTGTGCCATGCTATAATAAATATTGTTATCTTCCCTAAACTATTAGTGCCTATTCGAATATTACCTCTCGCAAACTATTAAGTCAAGCAAACCCCTTATAAATCGATATGGATGGAGAAACCAACCCTTATATCGTGACAGTACGATCACGGAATGATAGTGATTTTTCACGAGAATGGGAAATTAGCATTCCATGCAAGTTATACAGTGTGTACATAAAGTAAGGAATAAATTCATTATCTCGAAAAGGAAAAGCTTTTCGGAAAAATCCTTGGACACGTCAACTTTTGTTTCAAGATGCGCATCTTTTGGAGTCCTAGTCGGAATGGTGACGTCATTACTCTTCCGGAAATGTCATCATCGATTTTTTTTTCAAATGGCAACCTATAGTTTTGACAGTGCCATTTGAAAGAGCATATTTTTCTCCACACAGCACATCAAAAGTTTTGTCATGTTACATAAGGAAATTTTCGAGAAAATTAATGATTTATTGATTTTAAGTTAACTTACTTTATTCGGTTAGTTGAACAAACTAATTAATGAAGGGTTCAAAAAGTCCTTCCTAGCATTGTAAAGTTCTCTGTCAGCACGCCACTGGTGAGTTCGTTTTTGCTAAGCCCTAAAAAAATCACCCTTTTTATTATCGTAAAAAGACATGTTACTGTTTGTGATACCTGACGTTTGGTTGATGTATGCCACAGTTTGAAAGTTCATATTTCATTGATTCTCTTCTTTTCGAAACAATTAAGAATAAAATGCGCCTTTCTGTTACTCAGAGAATCGAAATTATGATGATGATTGGCTACGGTGATAGAGTACGAACGCAACAAGAAGTAGTTGGACTGTTTAATACTAAATACCCGGATAGGCCCATAACTCAATCGGCAGTAAGCAAAGTTGAGAAAAAGTTTCGAGACACTGGTAGTGTTGATGATCTCCCTAAAGCTGGGCGTCCTAAAATCAATGAGGAGGTCAAATTGAATGTTTTATTAGCAATGGAGGAAAATCCACACAACAGCCTAAGAAGCCTGAGCCAAAATCTAGATATCCCAGTTACAACTACACATAAAATTATGAAATTGGAAAAGTGGCATCCTTATAAGATGACTCTGACCCAAGAACTTTCCGAGGACGATCCAGACCGACGGATGCAGTTCTGCCAAACGTTAATGGATTTGTGCAATGCCAACCCTTTGCTAGTAAAAAATATTGCTTTCTCTGATGAAGCTACCTTTACACTAACAGGAACAGTGAATCGGCAGAATTGCAGGTACTGGGCTAAGGAGAATCCAAAATGGATGAGAGAACATCACACACAGTATTCTCAGAAAATAAATGTTTGGGCGGCGATTGTAGAAAACAGAATTATTGGACCCCACTATTTCGAAGAAACCTTAAATGGTGCAAGATACCTTCAATTCCTACAGGATCATGTTATACCCAGTCTGGTGATCTTATTTCCTAACGCAAATAACCCTGCTATACCAAATGAAAACTTATGGTACCAGCAAGATGGTGCACCGCCGCATTACGCAGCTGATGTTAGAAGGTATCTTGACCAAGTCTTTGCCAATAGATGGATAGGTAGGCGTGGTGCTATTGAATGGCCCCCAAGATCTCCGGACCTTACTCCATTAGATTTTTTTCTTTGGGGCCATCTAAAGAATGTCGTGTACAAAACTAGACCAGATAATATCGAGGAATTGAAAACTAGGATTACAAATGAATGTAACAATATTACTCCACGAACTATCACGAAAGTCCAACGAGAATTTATTGACCGTCTTGGATACTGCCAGGCTCAGGAAGGACTTCAGTTTGAACATTTGATCAATTAGTTTGTGCAATCAACTGTGTAAAATAAATTACTATAAAATCATGATAACATTCATTTTCTCGAAAATTTCCTTATGTAACATGACAAAACTTTTGATGTGCTGTGTGGAGAAAAATATGCTCTTTCAAATGGCACTGTCAAAACTATAGGTTGCCATTTGAAAAAAAAATCGATGATGACATTTCCGGAAGAGTAATGACGTCACCATTCCGACTAGGACTCCAAAAGATGCGCATCTTGAAACAAAAGTTGACGTGTCCAAGGATTTTTCCGAAAAGCTTTTCCTTTTCGAGATAATGAATTTATTCCTTACTTTATGTACACACTGTATATAATTTTCCTACGGCAGTAACAGATAACAGCGACATTTTTAATTTCTTCGTCTTGTAGCCTTCTGATTTCCTCTCAAGTAATGCTCATCTATTAGACAGATCTGTTATTGCTTGAAATTTTCGACGATTTTTTTGAAATAATAATAAAGTGGAGTCGTTGTGATATCAGATACGGAAATAAAATTGATGAAATACAAAGTACCTGATTGATGTATCAAACACAGTAAAACAGGAGCAATTTTGTGTTATAGCCGTAGAAAATAGTATATTGTTCAACGAGCAGTATATTGTTCAACGAGCACGGAATGATTACAGCGAAATTTTGTATTTCTTCGTCTTGTAGCCATCTGATTTCCTGTCGAGTAATGCTCATCTATTAGACAGAGCAATGATGGAAATAAGTAGATGGTGTACTCACTGATGCGCTTTTGTTTCAGAAATTCTTCTCGACCTCCCGAGAACAATGTTTCCAGCGGTTTTCGGTTAAATTGCCGCAGATTTTTCGAATTCAGAGCTAAATAAACCCGCACTGTTGCATATGTTCCGCGTACCTAAAATGCCAGCAGCATTCCTATACAAATTATCATCAGATCTACCAACCTTGAGCAGCATTAGCAGCATCACCATCTAGCGGAAAAATGTAGAATCATCCTCTCGCTCGATGAGACGTAGAGAAATCATAGTAGGCGGTCGAGTGAATTTTCAATATGTAAAAATGGCCGAGTACGCGCACCATCTACTTATTTCCATCATTGACAGAGCTGTCATTGCTTGAAATTTTCGACATTCCATGGTCAATTAGATTTTTGTGAAATATTAATAGAATGGAGTCATTGTGATATCAGATACGGAAATGAAATTGATTAAATACAAAGTACCTCATTGATGTATCGAACACAGTAAAACAATTTTGTGTTATAGCCGTAGAAAAATATACTTACAGGGTGTTTTTACTGGCAAACGGAGTTAAGTAAATCAAAAATATGCGTTTTTTATAGTTTTTTCGAAGAATATTGGGACAAAAAATATACAAAAAATAATGTAGGTCGAATGGCTTAAGTCGAAAATAATTTACAAAAAGGTTCGTTTTTTTTATAAGATTCACTCTACCCTCCACTTTGGGGTAAAATCGAGGGTAAAATGAATCAGGTATTGAAAACGCGTGAAAAATCATTTTAAGATACTCAGAGGTAAACTGAATAAAGAAAACATTTCTTAATTTTGTTGTTGTGATTGCATTTTTATAATATATCATATTCTCGGCATGCTGATTTTATATCCTTTTCGGAGTTTATTATATTTGTCCTTTCCTAACAACATTTGTTGAAAAAATAATAATAATAATAATAATAATCTTTTCTTCATGTTTGTTCGTGTCTCAGTTTTTATCAACATCACTTAACATCAACTTCTGGAGTAAAAGTTTCGACTCTGGAGCTGTTTCCTCCCATCTTCAAGATTGAATTCATTTGCATTTTATTCCCAGAAGTGAAAAGTTACAGTAAGAATTTGAAAAAAATGAAATTCTTACTCAAAAACAATGTACTTACATAATATGTTAGATTTTTCCAGCTCTGAGGACTTTTTTCTTTCATAAACACATGTGTAAGTAGATAAATCGTTAAAACTGCATTTATCATGCGATGTTTTTTTTTTTTGGTCCTTACGTATTTTTGTCTGAAAAACACGAGTTTGATAAAGAAAATGTGAACAAACCATTTTTTACTAAGATATTTCACTATACAATTACAAATTTCACCTTAGAACTATTTGCCCTTCTTTTTTCATCATTGAACAATTTATATATATCACAATGTACGACACATTTTTTTATATTATATGAGTCAACCGGAAACAAGATTTTCTTGTGATTTATCCATATTTAGTGAAAGGAAGGAAGATCATTTGAAATAATGGCGTATGTAATGTCATTCAAAAGCTATCTGGTATGATATGAAAAACTCGCCATAAAAATCATATATCCTGTTGAATTTTCTATATAAAAATGTTTCATTGAAGTACATCATGAGTATATAAAGTGTCCAATGACAAAATAACACAGGGGGAAAGGAAAGGCGAAATTTCGAATTATTTCATGCAATATCTCGATTAATAATGGTTTGTTCACATTTTCATTATCAAATTCGTGTTATTCAGACAAAAATACGTAAGTACCAAAAAAAATTTTCGAAAAAAAAACCCATCGCATGATAAATGCAGTTTTACCGATAAATCGACTACAATACCTACTTTGTGAACATCATATTCACTCCACTTGGTTAGCAATATTTATTCAATGAAATGCAAACTAACGTAACCTGAAATTTGGGCATTTTGCTGAGAAGCTTCCTCGAATCACAAGAGTAAACAGCTAAACAGTTTCCTCTGCCCAAATCACTATAAACATTCGGAATAATACACACTAGCAAATGAACCATTTCAAAACAATATACTTTCATATAGTTCCACAACCGGCCACTTTGGCGCTGCGATATATTTATTCTGTGGCCATTTTTCTCAACTTTACCTGGAAAGCCAATATGGGATCTTGCTCAAGGTCAGACAAATCGATGGCCTTGCCCTTGGCCTTGACATCGGGATGTTTGCGGCACAGCAGCCAGCCGACGTGAGAGAAGAAGAATCCTCTTTTGGCGTTGTGTGGATCGGCGTCTGTCTCGCTGAATTTGTGATGCACCCTGTGGTCTCTGGCCCATTCGATCACCGAATTCTGAAATACAGAGAATAAGAGAACAGTATAGAAGGATAGACCCTTACGGAAAACAGTGGTTTCAGTCAGCACTGGGATGTCCTTCTGGTACGGCACTGGAATGTTCCAAGTACGAAGAAAGGATATACCTGCTTAGGACATTCCGTCGACAAAAGAAAAAAAATGTGGGTCGAGTAAGGATTGAACGACCAGGGACCTTTAGCTTATCAGGCACGCACCTTACTCCATTGGCTAATATGCCTTCTGAAGGATTCATGTACTAAACAGATTTATAAACAGGACTTATCTACAGAAACCTGAATAAATACAACTTTGTAAGGATTTGGGTATGATTATTATCATTCTTGGGTGTATCAAAATGGGCCATTATGCATTTACGATTTCTGTTTGCTCTTAAGAAGTCCTGAGACTATATTTGTTATTTTCATTACAATTATTTTCCGGTAGAAAAACGAACATTTTCAAAAAAATTCAACTCAATATTTTGATGAAATTCAATGACTCTGGATGTGAATGGATATTCCAGGGACACGAATAAGATAACCTAGGGATGTACCAGGCGGGATGTCCACTGGACAACCACTGCGGGACATCCCCTGGATGCCCCAATCATGTCCTTGTACCGCGGGACAAAAAAAGCGACGTACCTAGGACATCCCTGTGTTGTTAGGGTCGTGACTATTACGCGCAGTAGTTCAGCTATCAGGGCACGCGTTTTGTTTACACTTCTTTAATTCATATGCCTTTGTGACTCATTCTACTTTGTTGGTGTTTTTTTTTTCAATATTTGCAGCAACATACTTGTGATATAAGTTGAGGCCTATGCAAAGTAGAAACAGAACTGGTTGATGGAGGAATTAATTCACATTTTAGAACATATGAAAATTCTGCTGAAGATACATATGGACCTTTAGGAAGTGTTAAAAAGCTAGTTTTCAATGGACGAGTGGACTGATAATGAATTATTGGAATTCAATTACGCCAGTGTGTCGTTATTCGGGACCTTAATTGATTTTTGCAACACTTCTCAGTCTCACAATTTTTTATGTAGATGATGAGTCTATTGTTCAAAATTTGCTGATACGTCGAATAAATGGTGACAACAGCAGTTTTTATGCTCTTTCGTTATTGGTCAGATAATCTGACCATTCCCACTCACGAAGCAATAAGGCTGTCAAGTCATCATTTATTACCACATTTTGAATCGACCCGGCCGTTACTTGATGAAAATCCATAGCAAATATAAAAACTCCACAAACTATAAAATTTTCTTCTTCTTTGAATATCAAAAAGAGGGCAAATCCAATTTGTTTCATTCATTTGTGAACAGTGTACAAAAATGTGTTTTTTATGTAAACTTTGAACTCGTCTCACGGACAAACGGTACATTTTGTTATATGAATAAATTGGGTCCAATCAACTTATTTTGACTCATATTACACGTGGTAGGTCTGTGTAAGTACTCATTTGATATGGTTACAAATATTTATATTCACCTGGTGAACTTGTCTAATGTGTTGTCGTACATTACTTTCTTTGCTTCTAAAACCACAAAATTCACACCTACCCAAATTCTCTTCTCTATGCATTACTAAATCAAATAATGAAGATCAAAATGAAAATGTATATCACCGATCGACATTTTTCCCAACATGCAAACTGTTCTATTATTATTTTGTTGTCTTGTAGTGGTAAACTCCCGCGTATTTCGATTTACCTAAATTTCGTATAAATTGGTAATGCGCATGCGGTGTCTTTTGCGACTGTAACGACCCAGAGTAGGGTCACGAAATTCAACCCGAGTCAGTGATCAAGTTTCCGATCAGAGGTAGGTGACCCGCAGCGAGCACAAAAACATCTCAGATATGTTAAAAGTACGAGATTTCGAGACATTGAACCTCCACTGCGATGTTCTGTTCACACATGAATAGAACTATTATAGAACAGCCAATGTCCGCCGCAGGCGGCAATTATCGAGATGTCCTTGATATGTCACAAAACTACCTTCTCCCTAGTTCTTTTTAAAGCCTTTTCATGGACACAACAAAACATTTTCAACGCGTCTTGCGCACATTAAATCGCTGTAAAAAACATTTTCGATGTACTTTTCTGAAGCCTTTTTTCAAAATGAACTTTTGCATTAGGATTCCATTTCCCTTGAATGAAAAAATGCGTTAAAAATATTTTCTTGATATGGAATTACCTTCTTAATCGGTTTCTGAGTAGTGCTTACTACACACAGACATATAATTGGAAATAGGTTTCCCAATTTTTGAAATGTTCTCCACAATGCCTAATTTTGCAACTGCGGAGAAGCTGTGTATTGATAAATTCGTACTTTTATATATTGATTACACTGAGGCACCGAACAACACATCTTGCATCTGATGGTCATTATTACAAACTAAATAAGTCACAATAAACTTCACCAAATTCCTTTCTGTTCGTTAGCAGCGTGATGTAAGCGTGACACGCTGCAAACGCGAATGCCAATTGCGAACAAGAAGAACAAAATCGAAAACAAATCAGAATTCATCGTATTGTGACGTAAGCATGAGACGTTGTGGTGGGGCAAACAAAGAAAGGGCACAAAAGAACAAAAACAATACTTTCAATATCCTTCTAAGACCTCTTTGGGAAGTGCATATTACGCCTCAAAAAAACATCCTCATGCCAACATTTTCAAAACATCCCAGGGATGTTTGTGCTCGCTGGGGACTCGGTTTAGGCATCGAACACCAACTTAAGTTGATAGTCATTTGCCCATTGTCCCCAAATGAGGACAGCCTGTTTAGAGGATTTTTATACAGCTATGATTGTTTTTACTCCCATCCAATGTCAAACTCTCATCAGGAAAGTATTATGTTATTACACTTGAACCTGCTTATTGTAGTCATCTAGTGGATATTGCATAAAAATTCTCAGAGTTTTATGTTTGAAAGCTGTCAATTCGTTAAAGGACTAGGGTTCTTATTGGACCAGGTTGTTTTTTCAATTCTGGGTCTACTCACCTCAAAGGCTAGCGTGTTGAAAGCGGTCAGAATGAGTTTGAGCGGCCATTTTGCTTTGTACGATCGGTGTGCCCAAAGTCTGTGTGCTCCCGCTGTAATCCCTAAGCCGCCCATTTGATACAATAATATACCTGGAATCAGAAATGTACAGAGTAATAAATAGTTCATTATACACGGAAAAAAGTGGTAGATTATTGTAGATCGAGGTTGTGTTGTCAGCGGAGGGAGGCAAAAAACTGTGAGGTAAAATCTAATATTTTTCTTGTATAATTCACAATTTTTTTCTCTGACAGGGAGAAGGACGAAAGGAAATGTACCGTTTGTCCGTGAGACGAGTTCAAAATGTACATAAGAAAACACATTTTTGTACACTGTTCAAAAATGAGTGAAAAAAATTGGATGAAATTTGACAGAAGTGAATTTTAGAGGATTACCTTTCCCTCGGTAATCAAAGGAACCCAAAAGAAATTGTAGAAGGGTTGAAACCACCCTCACCTCCTGCCATTTTCTTCAGAACATTCTTATGGTTTATAGTTTCGAAAGAAAAAAAATGTATTCTCAAATAATGCTAACAGATATTCCTATAGTAAAAGTTTAATGTTTTTGGATGTATGACATACAAATTGATATTCATCATACAGGACGTGGAAAGAAATTCTGAATTTAGAGAATGTTAATTTTTTATCTGAAGGAGAATACAAACTATCGTGTGTGTTCAATAGATATAATTCAATGTTCGTAGTGGAATATAGCCTGGAAAGTATTTGTTTTCTGTTGAATAATCCGAGAAAGCAGTGATATTTTCATCACGTAGGTATATATCTTCATTTATATGTACAGGGTGAGTCATTAGTGTGGCAAAGTGAGATAGCGGCTTTACTGTTTGAGATAGATGAACAAAAATTTCAGAGATGATCTAGGATCATGAGCATCACATTCAGAAATGCGTGGCGTATCAAAGTTATACTTTTTCTTATGGGACACCCTGTTTTCCTTGCACTTTCGCATTCTCCTTCGTGAGCTGATTTCATAAATGCATCACACTTGTGGTCTAGTGAGAATGATTACAGAGATATAGGGTGTTTAAAATCGAGAATTTTCAACTTTAGGATTTTTTTGCGTCGAAACTATTCATTATTGATCAAAACGGCTCTCATGTCCCTACACCAACTTTTGATTTACTATCTACTGACATTCAATTGGAACAGATACGAGGGTGATCGGAATGCTGAATCTTTTGAACCACCCTGTAAATTATTATATTACTAACATAGATGAAAACGAGTTGATTTCAAAGACGTATAAAAAAATATATATTTTCTGTGGGTGAAAAAGACAATATATCATATATGAGAGAAACTTCAGAATACACTTTTATGACTTTTATTGTGAATAGATAGGTATTTTGCTGAAATCAAATCATCATGTGCAGTTTGAGTGCACCGAAACCATTACGTGTAACCGATAAATTGTGATCACGTAGTGAATTGCGTGAATCCATGATAAGACTTCATGCATCAACCGAAAGAACGATAAGACCATAAGACTTACAAAATAATAAATAATATTTAAATCACGCCATGCAGCATTACGAATGACCTTGTAGAGACAAAAAACGAACGGACGAACTTGAATCGACCTGATGACGAAACGAACATAATCGAAAGATAATTATTTTTAGACAACTACTGGGTCAACGTTTCATTACGTGGACATCATTTACTTTGAGAAAACTGAATTGATAAGAACATTTATATATATGTACCTACTTCAAACTTCATTCAACAACACCGGTGATAATGACTTTCCGAAGTCAAGTTGATAATCGAGGATTTGAAATCGAGAGATCATTTTCTCTCCTCGTCTATAAAATCAGATGATTTTCCCCAAAAGATAAGTAAAAAGTCGATATTATTCCTATGTAACTTTATTTCTCTTCTCCAAACCTTTTTTATGTCACTGACAAGATAGTGCATTTTATTTAGGCTCTCCGATAGGAAAATTCTTTGAACGCAGTGACATTTTGGGGCAAATCATCTGATTTGTCCTCAATACACGTATATTGAGATAATATTGATATTTTTATTTTATAGATACGAGGAAAGAAAATCCCAAATAATCTGGAATAATGAATGTACTTGTATATAATTAACCTGCAAATCGATTTTAATCGGACATACAAACAAAACAATAATAGCGATAGCGTAATCGCAAATGAATATTGATTTTGCAAATAAACTTGAACAGAAAAACAATGTTTCTTGTGTTTTTATTTTATTTTTTAGCCTACTTGCAAGATTATTTTGCAATATCACAATTGTAGGTAATTAGAGATCAAATTGAACGTGCAGATGCTTCCTTTAGCAATATTGAAATTTGAGCAATAGGATACATATCTACTTTTAAGGTCATCATGCAAGGTTTTTGAAATTATTATACTTGCAAGATGAAACTTGGAATTGGAGCTTCAAGAATGATAATTCATGCAGATTTTCATTTTCATGACTTCATGACAAGTTGTTTCCTCGTTAATTCAACAGAGATGTCCCTGCAAGAGTTTCTATAAGTAATTAATCAATGAAACATTTACGTTTTTTGCAATTAAAGTAATTGCAAAATCAATGTCAGACGTTGAGCTTTCAACAAGTTGAACATGTTTCTTGCAATTGAGATACTTGGAATTTGATCTCGAGGGAAGATTAGTTTTGAACGATGAGCTAGGTAGAACGATAGTTACGAAATAAATATCAGAAGTCGAGTTTTGTACTACTGTAAATCATGCATCTTGCTTGAAATCCAAATACTTGCAAGATCAATTTTGGAATTTGATCTTGAAAAAATATCAATTCTATGAGTTGAGCCAAATAGAACGATAAATAATGCGAGTTAAGTACTTGCAAGATCAATCTCGGCATGCATGGAATCAGAGTTCAATGAATGATAATTCATACAGATTTTCAATTGTAAGACTATAATATTAGAATTTGAACGTAATGAAAATTTTTTTTGATAAGTCACATTCCTTGCAGGGAAATGCCAGATCAATCATAAACGTAGAGCTACATTTAACGGCAATTACAAGATCAGTAATCTACATTTTGCTCGAAAACCAGGTACTTGCAAGATTGATTAATTTAATCATACTCCTAGTAATGACGGTACTCGCAAGATCAGACTTGGAATTCGATCTTGAGAGAAAATGAATTCTAAACGTCGACATTTGTTGAACGATATCGTGCATCTTGCTTGCAATCCAGGTACTTGCAAGACCAATCAACTCAATCACGCTCCATTCAATTATGGAACTTGCAAGTTTAATCTTGGAATTTGATCTTGAAAGAAGATCAATTCCAAATTTTTGCTTGAACTCCAGGTACTTGCAAGATCAATCAAGTCATTCACGCTCTATTTTATTACGTTACTTGCATGTTCAATCTTAGAATTTGATCCTGAAAGAAGATCAATTCCAAATTCTTGCTTGAACTCCAGGTACTCGCAAGACCAATCAAGTCAATCACGCTCCATTTAATTACGGAACTTGCATGTTCAATCTAGGAATTTGATAGTGAAAAAATATCAATTCCAAACGTTGACCTGAATCTATATATACAGGGTGTCCCAACATTACATAGGAAGATTTCGATCACAGATTCTAGGAACAAAAAATAGTAAAATAATTCATATAGTCTCAAAATGGCCCCCGCGGGAGGGAGATGGCTATACCATGTGAAAGAGGGCCTGAGATGATGTTTTTTTGCAAATTCTGGGCTCATGTTTACATTCACTTTTTTTTCTATCTTTGTTCCTAGAACTATTTCTATGTAATTTCGGTACACCCTGTATAATAGAAAGTCCAAAATTAGTTACACTATTTATAACTTGAGAACAGCTGAACCGATTCGACTGAAAATTGGTGGAGAGGTGACTTAGAACCAGGAAACGGGCATAGGATACTTTTCATCCCGATACTAATAGGAAATTCAAGATGGCGGATCCAATATGGCGGATTTTGTTATTATGATCCGATCGAGACCGGAAATTATGGTTCTTTCGTGAAAATTGGGAAATTCAAGATGGCGGAACCAATATGGCGGACGAGTTTTGAAATTATAATCTGATTCTTTTCACAATCGGTACCTATAGGGGTGTTCGTTATCGGAGTTTATGATTCCATCGTCAAAATTAGGAAACTCAAGATGGCAGGATCCAATGAGGCAGACGAGGTTTGTAATTATAATCTGATTCTATTAAAAACTTGAGAGTGGAAGTTTTCTGGATCAGAAATTATTATTATTTCGTCGAAATCAGGAAATCCAAGATGGCGGATCCAATGGCGGTCGAGTTTTGTGATTATGATCCGATTCTATTCATTTGAGGAGTCGGAGATTATGATTCTTTCGTCAAGATTTGGAAATTCAAGTGAACTAAAAAAGGAGTAAAAAATATATGGTAGTTTGAAAAACTAAAGAAACACGCTTTCATAGATAGCCAAACTAAAAAGAAGTAGAAAATGAAATATTAATAATAGAGTGTGTTGATGAATATTAAACTGACAAAATATTTTCTAGAAATAATCTATAAAGCGAAACAACGTTTACGTTTGTTGTACGTTTCTGCAATCAAGTTACCTACTTGCAAGATGAATCTCGGAATGTAATGACAGTTCCAAGAACGATAAATCATTTACCTTGCTTGAAAACCATGTACTTGCAAGATCGATCAAGTCAATCATGCTCCTTCTAATAACGATAATGGCAAGACCAATTCTGAGAAATTCGAGCTCAATGAGTACTTGCAAGATGCAACTCACCGTAAATGGATGTTACCAATTTGGCGGAGGTGAACATGAGATAGAGGCCGTAGACCGCCACCGCGTGCAAGTAGGTGAATAGTACGATGTTCCTCCACACCAGCTCGAGCTTCCTGTCGCTGGGCTTCACCACCTCGGGCGGAATGAAGTTGGCTCTCACTTCGTCGTCGTTTTCGTGCAGCACGCCCGTCGGTATCGAAACGTTGGGCGCCATTTCTGGTTGAGCGCTGGAAAAGAGACAGGCGTCAGGAATGTATGTATGAATGAATGAAGAATGAAAGTAACTGGAAATGTAAAATTGTAATTATGAAGTCCTAATTTTTATATCATAAGAACACATGCTCGATATCATTGTGAATTTTTTGGAAAATCAAAATGAAAAAGGACATTTTCTCGAAAACGGTACGTTATATGGCATTCTAACAAGAATACCTTTTTTATGTAAAAGTGAATCGGAGAATCATATTCCGATATAAGAAATAAGATACATTTTGAAACAAGAAAACTTGGAGTGGCATTTTTATAGCGCATCAGTTACGAGTTTCGTACCACTAAACAATTCAATGATAAGAAAGATAATTGAAGAAAACTACATTTAGGGACCTACCTCTAGCTCTAGCGCTCAAATCACTAATCAAACAGACATAAACGTCTATTATATCTATACCTATCTTACAAATCATCATTTTTGGTGAGGGTAATTACCACTATTATCCCCCTCTCCCATATCGACGCCCTTGGCAAACGGTATATATTTTTTTCCGTTGCATAATATAGCGCAAATATGCATATTTGTTTTTTTTTAGTGCAACTACACCTGACCGTGATGACCTTTTGGGCTCGCGCAACGGTATGCCTTTGTATTTTTTTCAACTACGCATATCATTAATATTTCATTTTGGTACACATCCGGCTGCTTGAGTAAAATCGTATCGGAATACCCAATTTGCGAACAAATCTCGGAACAAAAAATGATGTTAATTAACTCTAATGCATGGAGAACCCGTGCGCATTCTTCCATGTATCACTTTTTAACATCAAAATATATATCTACATAATGATAGCCTCTAAGACATTCGGGTCGATTCTGTTTGAGAATAGCAATATGGTTGTAGAGAAGATATTGCTATCATAGCAAGATTCGAAAAAGTGGAATTCTAATCATCGATTTTTGGCAATATGATCTGTCAATTTCAATGACATCTGGTCAGCTTTCTTGCTATCTTGGCAACATCAATTTTGTGCTTGCTATCTTATAACAAGGTAGTGGATTCTTTGTTTTTGCACTACAAATTCTTCCAACTGTATGAGAATTCACTTGTGTCACTGACTACTCGAAAACCTTTCCTCAAAGTTTCAATTCGTAGAAGAATTATTGAAAAACGGTGATTACAAACATATAGGTTCACTACTGTGACCAACTACTTGAAAACCTTTTCTTGAAGTTCCAATTTGTAGAGGAAATATGAGTCTATAATTTCGGCATGTCAGAGAAATTTAAGTTGCCTGATGGATAGTTTATCAAGCTATTTTGCTAGAATATTAAAAAAAATCACGATTCGTTTCATCCGGCTTTTAGTTGTTTTCTCATTTCGGGGACATGATTGATTACTAGCACCAGTCTCATAACGACGACCAGATTCAGCAAATACAAAATCTCTCGATTTGAACAATATAATTTTGTAAAATGTCAGTGCAGGACTGACTAATTTGAGAGGTTAGATAATCATGAACTCTTCTTCTTCATGAAATAATGGCAAAATCGATACCTAACACTTAAACAATGAATTTAAAACAGTGTTGTCAGCTCAAAAATTCTCAATTTTTCAACAATATTGCTATCACTTGAACTTATAACCAATCTTGCAGTTACTCTGCAAACAGAATACAGAACTTCATAGCAATATTGTTGTATGTTATGATCATAACAATATCATTATCTTAGCCATGTTATAACGAGATCCGAACCCGAACAGAATCGACCCGATTGAGTGCAGAAACACTCGAGGAACAGGTGGTATATATGATATTTCAGAATGCGGTGAGATATAATATTTCAATCGGTAATTAATGGATTTTTAAGTGTGTTTCTTAGTTTTTCGTCGTTATTGAAAATCTGTACCTATCCGAGAAATATGGAAACTTTCTTAAGCACGAAACACATGAATTATTCGAGACTGTTCGTATTTTCAGACTTTTCGAGCACTGAAGAATGAAACAGGAATTGAAGATCATTTTTACTGTTTCATTTTGAATGTTCACTTACTATTGCACTTTTTATATTTACATACTTATAGAGGGTTTATTCAATCAAGAATTCTCAATTTCTGATATTCGTCGTTTTTTTTCGTGCAATATCCCTGCCGGCATCGAAACGTTGGGCGCCATTTCTGTATGAGCGCTGGAAAAGAGACTAGCGTCAGAAATGTGCAGTCTGAAAAGGATCCTGGGAGGTGTGGATGTGTTTGAGACTCTACCAATCAAAATTCTCAGAAGTTTTTTTCAATCTGTAATAACGATTAATACTGCCATGATAAGCAAAACCACCGTAAAGTAAAAAATGTAGAACCGAGATAAATCAGAATTGTTCCAATCTCAAATCGCACCTCTCCGACCGCATTCCTGCTTAGCAATGACAATTGACTGTATTTTTACTTAGTTTGATCAATGATATTTTCAAATGCGGGATATTTCACTTCAAATCATCGGTTTTACTATTGTATAAATAACCTGTCACTTTCCACTTACAATTCTCTAGATGTTGAATGAGAACAATTTTTCCTTGTAGATCAATTTCATTAGTACAATGACTGATGACCTTTTGAATGGTCGAAATATGTCTCATCAAAAGTAATGAAGCAGAATTGACTGCACCTTTCGCCATTCAACTTGTGGAGACGACTTTGAGTTTTTTTCTCGTTATTCAAGAATTTTAAATTTCCGATATTCGTCGTCGTTTTCGTGAAATACGCGCCTCTCGGTATTCAAACGTTGGGCGCCATTTCTGTTTCAGCGTAGGAAAAGAGATTAGCATCAGAAATGTGCGATCTCTGAAAAGGAATTTTGGGAGATGGGGTGCCTACGGGGTGATTCAGAGAATCTGCCTTCCAAAAATCTCAGAACAAATATTTTTGGATAATCCGTGATAACGATTATGGAATGTTCAATTGCTATAATAGTAGAACTCTGTTATTTTCGCTTTTTTTATAGGGGATTTTCTACATCCTGTTGAGAAATATATCTCAACTCAGGGAGTTTCACTGTGTATCTCGTCTTTATTGAAAATCGTTATATCCAAGAAATATATGGAATCTATTTTGTAAGAAAAACGGTCTGTTGGAGACTGGTCATTTCATATGTTTCGAAGTTTAGAAAAATTATGTACAGGGTGGAATCATTGGGATCTCGGTCGGTTAAATTATGGCAAAGTTGCAAAATTTTATGCCTAACAAAATGCCGTTTTGAAATTTGAAATATTCCAATTTTTGGAAAACCCCAAATATTCTCGATTTATTTTCAATTTTCTAGGACCCTATTTGAATAGATTCAACAAAACAAATTACACATCCTCATGACTACTTTTTCTGTTTTACAAGAAGTTATCATCAGATTTTCGAAACGACGTTTCGTTCTTAAGCTGGCATCATCAACTTTGTTTTTTTAAATACGGACTTGAATTTTTTATAATGTATTTTAAAAGCTTTCGATCTCCTAAAATCAACGGTGGCACTTATTCGAAACAAATGAACTCTCGTGGAGAATGCCATTATTATGATTTTTTCGAACAAATAGGATACACCGTTGATGTAAGAAGATCAGAAGCTCTCAAAATCCATGATAAAAAATCCAGGGCCGTATTTAAAACAACAAAGTTGATGATGACAGCTCAAAGAAGAAACGTCGGTTTGAAAATTTGATAACCATCTTGTAGAACAGAAAAAGTAAAGATGGAAATGTGTGATTTGGTTTGTTACATCTATTCAAATAGAGTCATGAAAAAATAAAAATGATATCTCACATTCGGATTATTCCAAAATTCTCATTCGGAATTAATCAAATTTCAAAACGGCATTTTATTATATAGGCATAAAATTGCGCAACTTCGACATAAATTACCCCATCCTGGATCTCTTACGGATTTTTTTCATCTCTTGGATGGCACGAAAGGAAATTCCTATAATATTCGTAGAACATCGTGAACCTACTATGCAATCAAAAATTCTGAATTTCTGATATGTTGTTTGTTTTACGTAGGTAGGTGACTTATTATTTTTCATATTCATATTTTGGTTGCCGAGAAAAATAGATGTAGAATATAAATATTTATAAAAAAACAATTATCCTACAGGGTGTGACATTTTTATTTCACATGTGTTTATACTTTGATAAAACACGAATCCTACGATTTGCACACCACTGCATGGATCACTGATGTATGAAGTTTATCGACCTCCAACATCGGATTCAGCGAATATGGATCGATGACAAATAAAGCGGAATTTGCTCAAAAATTGGTTTTATTATAGCGCAATTTGTCACAATTCGTTAGTCAGTAAGTATAGTAGCCTGTCTGTAATAAGAATAACTGTACATATGATTTTTATTATTTTAGTTTGTTAATATCGGTGATTTAAGATTGCAACTGAATAAGGGAAAAACCAAGCGAAATACCAAAAGCGAGAACCAAAGGTACTTTTCGAGTTTGGGTATAGAACATGGTATATGAAACAAGAATTCGTTATATGGAATTCCGAAAAGAAATAAAAATGTTTTTTCTTTTGTTTTGAAAAAATCAAGTTTAAGGTATCTTATCAAAAATGCTGGTGTTCTGCAAGGATCAATTCTAGCACCAAAACTATTTCTACTCCATATCAACGTTTTGTTGGAAGCAACTTCATGTCCAGTACACAGCTCCGCGGATGATAGTACCCTCCATACCGCCTTCTATTCCAGGCTCCAATACCAGCCAGGCAAATCAGAAACGAACGAGGGAGAAATGTTGACAACATAAATATGGACTTGGCAACAATTCTCGAATGGAAATTCAATAACTTGGTAGATTTCAATGCAAACAAAACCCAAGCATGCCATTTCTTAGAAAAGTTGGTGATCTGGCTCTATTTTATAGATATTTTCATGGACGATGCTCCTCTGGAATATCAACAATTGTTCCTCCCTTGGCAGTCCCCGCGAGATTAACCCGTCGTGTCGAGG